CAGTATAATTTTCACGTTAAACATATGTGCGTTAATACAATATGTATGATACGGTATGCAGAATACCGAATATATACCGTATGTGTAATACGATAATAATACATTATTCATACTTTAAAGATACTGATCGCAAAATACGGTTATACCGTATGATAACAGTATGTATATTTTTTTATAGGGCTATGACCGAGATGAAGTTGAAAATAAATTGGTTATCAAAATTGATCAAGATGATCGAGCCCCAAAGTTTTCTGTTGTAGACGATATTTCAGAAGTATATGGTTTAGCCGGGATTCATGAATGTATTAATGGTCAAAAGCCTTTAAGAGCCGTGATTGATATAGATGTTTCGCAGGAAGATATGAAAACAACTGGTGTTAAGGCGCAAGAAGTATTCATTCGAATCTGCCTATTTTTCATAAAAGCCTTGTATCGAATTCTTGACTGTAGTTGGGAAAACATTCTCAATGGGTTAGTTATTGCTACATCTTCAGATTCTAGCAAGTGTAGCTACCATATTTTATACGCACCGGCTCTCCTTATCGATCATCATGAACTCAAAGCATTCTTAGAATTAGTATATAGCTTAACTGGAGAAAAATTCGGCAAGTTCATTGATCGGAAATTGCCTGGTCACAACTTCAACCTTCGTCTAATCAGATCAGCAAAAAAAGGTCATGTAAAATGTATTCTTCAATTCTCACTAGATAATGGGTGGAATGCGTTCTATCACGCTAAAGTTCAACCACCTACTAGCTTAAGGCTTGAAGTAAGACCTCAAATGCTTAGTACAGAAAAAAATAATAATCCGCTAAGGATAATCGTGGGTCAGGATGTATTACAAAAATGCGCGGACCTAGTTTTGCAAAAGTATTCTAACTATCTTAGGGATTGGACTATTGAAGAAAAAGATTCAGAAAACTTCATATATTTTAACCGGAAAGCTTTACTAGAATGTTCACAATGTAAACGTATACATGACAAGGATCAGAAGTGGTTCGGTCGTGTATGCGCTAGTAGTAGTAAATTCATCGTAAAATATTTTCGGCAAAATAGTGATGAGCGCGGGGAAGTTTTTGAATGCGACCCATTTATTGCAGAAAAAATTCAGCAAGAAAATAAAAATCCTCCACACCCCTCTCACAAAGTAAAAGGTCCAGGTTTCCCTAAAGCCTTCATAAAAATGCCATCTTGAGTCAAGTATAATGAGACCCTTACAGCGACAGAAGTATATGAGGAGAGGTATGTATGTAAGACAATTACCCAATGAAGGCGATATTTATGTGGGGTTGCCTTGGGAAACTGGGAAAACCTATATTCTTGAAAATTTGGCTATCCCTAATAATGTAAATTTGCTAGTATTATCTACACGCCACTCTTACTCAAATGCTGTTACTACAAGACTTAATCTCAAGTCATATTGTGATATTGATGGTAATATAAATCTATCTGATCATAAGAGGGTGGTTTGCCAGATAGAGAGTTTACATCGCATTACCAATAACTGAAGTGTAAATGTAATAAAAAATGTAAATGTCTCCCGAGCCAGTACAATTTATGGCTTGATGAAATAGTGTCTATAATTGCTCAGGCGCAAAGTCATATAGCGGGGCAATCAATAGAAAAATTATATAAATTAATCCAAGATGCTAGGCGCATTATCGTCATAGATAGTGATCTAACTGACCTTAATATCGAATGGATTAAGGCTCTTCACAAAAATATACCTTTCTCCATTATTCATAATACTTACCAGCCTCAGAAAGGTAAGACATTTCGCTTGGCTCCCAATAAAGAAGCTGTGTTAGCTGAACTCTGGGATTGGGCCAAGCAAATATCTTCACTACCTTTTGAGAATTAGAAAAGTGCTTCGCTTATCTGCCATCTCAGGAAGAATGTACAAGGAATCGTTCGTGCTCTTAAGACTGATTTTCCAGAATTACGGATCAAGGAATATCACGGTAAATCCGATCCAGCAGAAAAGGCCTATGACTTTAGCAATGTAGAAGAACCGTGGAAACACGTAGACCTAGTTGCCTATATTAGCACTTTAAAAATAGGAGTATCTTGCACTAACCCAAAATTTGAGCGAGCATTCTGTCTCTTCAATAGCTATATAGAAACTAATGCTGGAACAAATCAAATATTGTTTCGCATGCGATGTATTAAGGATTATATATGTCATATTGAGCAGAGATCTTCTAACGTTCCCATTACAGAAAAAGGGTTATTTCAGTGGTTATTAAATGCCAAACGGGAATGTCTCCCCTGAGAGCTTCAGAATAGAGGAATATTTCCAGATATCAATTCTATTATTCGAAATAAGGATGTACCAACCATTCGATTATGGGTGGCCTATATGTTAGAAAAATTTCGTTCCCAGCGCTTATTTGGTTGGAGGATGGTTGATTTCCTTCGAAAAGCTGGCATGTGCGTTTCGATCATAAACTCTGGCCCTAAATCTGAAGAAAGTACATTATTGCAAGTGGTAAAAGCAAAGTGTTCTATAGTTAAAGTGGAGGAAATATCAGATATATCTAACGCTACTATTGTCAATCATGAGACAGCTGAATTTTTGGAAAACAAGCCGAAGAAGACCTTAGAAGAAATGCGATCTCTAGACCGGCATCATATTGTGGAATGTTATGAGATTTCTCCCGAATCATTGACTGAAGATTTCATTTCGAAGTATGGGGATTATAATCATATGAGATGGTTCAGAGCTTATAGACAATTACGAGATGCTGGCATTAACAATGAAACGGCTGTTGAAGCTATCACCCATAAAGATTACAGAGAAGATAGGCTTACAACTTTCACTCGTGCTGAGAGGCATCAAATTTGCCTGGAATTGTTAAAAACTTGTACACCAGCTAAAAATATCGACGATAGATCAAGATATAAAGCTGATGATGTTAAAACACGCCTGAATTCTCCTGAATCGATATTGTATCTTCAGAATTTGGTATCAAAAATGGCTCAAGTTTTTGATAATTCAGATACATCGCGCAAAGCTAAAAAATCAGGATTGAAAACAGATCGGGCAAAACTTGGTTTACTAAACTCAGCACTACAAGCAACCTATGAGTTGAAATTTAAGACTATAGACAAGAATCGTAGATATTACCACCTAGTAGGTTCATTTGATAATAAAGACGCGATCCCAGAAGGATCCACTCCTAGATTACCTTCATATCAAACGGGTGAAGAAATTTATTGGAAAAACGATGAAGATACTCGATATGGTTACAGTAAACTCACACCCGATGAATTAATATTAGATAATCTCACTAGTTCTAGCAAAGTGAATATCACGCAAATCACAGAAGATATTCAGGACTTATTTGATATGTTCTAATACTATTCGATTATGAATCAGGTAGATGAAGCCTTTTGCCATATTTTTATATAATAATTCCGCAGAAGGCTTCATCTTTTGGTATATATTATTAAAAAAATATCTCTATTCTTGCATCACTCCAGCCAGGATGCAGGCTTCTGCCAAAATTTTATATAATAATCATCTAATGAATGAAATAAAATTTTTTGCTCACTCCTCAGCAGACAATTCAGAGGGAATTTCGGGTTGAAGGGCCTCAGCCTCACACTTCTGCCTCATTCGATAATTCAGTGCATGAAACTTTGCAGAATATCTGGAACAATATTTGGAGCAATACCCCGAATCAGCATCAGTAGGAAATCCACAAATAAGGCAGGGTTTTTTTTTCATATTTTTTTCATATAATTTCCAGTGCCTTGCACAGCCAGTTAAACAAGTGCAGACTCCCCCACAAATGGAACCATTTCTCTTGATATACGGGCAAGTAACACGATCCATATAAGTATTTTAGGATATAAAAACCTTTTTCACTTTTAATTTCATAATAAAAATTGTATTTAAATTATTCGGTATTAAGATAAGTCATAAACAACTTTTCATACTGACGCTATGGATACATTAGATCAACTAACAGAAGTTCGCGAGCGTCAAACCTGTGAAAAAATCTATAATCCCAAATCTAATCGCATGATCATTATAAATGGGCCAGCATATCGTAAATTATTATGTGATGGTTATATGCATTGGAGAGAAGAAAGGCTTTTGATTCCGCCTTTACATGAATTACCAATATTAAGAAGACATCTCTCTTTCATTTCCTATCGTATTTGGGGTATCGTATCAGAAAGGAGTTTACTAGCAGTGGTTAACAAAAAAATAAGCCTATTGCAGATTTTGTTCAAAGCTAATTGGCACGATTTTACTTTATGCTAACTATTAAAATTATGCTGGAGGCATGAAGAGACGAAAGTTTAGAGAAATAATATACTCATAAAATTCCTCTACCATCCGAATCTAGCTCCTTCGAAATATAGACCAAGTGCTTTATATGATGCATTCACCAAGACAAACGTTTTAGGACTGGAACATATATTAGCTCTAGCGCGTGCACTTTACTAAAATGTGAATCGGTATAGATAATTCGTTTATAGCCTTGGAATGGGGGTTCTATGACTATGTCTTTTTTTCCGCATATCCTATTTACCCACAATTTTCAAATATATGCAAAACATATTTCAGCTGGAGCAGGTGGCCTCAAAAAGACCTCCCATAAGTTATATATTTTCGAATTGAACTTTATCCCACAATATATAATCTGAATACCACAGATTAATCTAACTACCACCATAGTCTACTTACCACATCATGTCTGCTATTACAACCAAGTTCGTTACAGACCACAGACTTACCAATGAAATGAGTCTCGAAGAGCTTAGCCGGTATGCGCCAGAAATACTTGACTCTTACCAGGTGATAGAGAGAAAAGGCGTCAGGCTCACGATCATCTTCAAAAAGGATATAACTTTAGTAAAGAACAAGCATTTGCGTTGATACCTTCTCAAAGAACTAGTCGAACTAAAAGTCAAGTAACCCCTAAAGAAGGAGATACAGAAGCGGAAGTGAATATATGCTGTGCTAAAAGCGCCTACCAAGTATCAGATATTATCCCAGAAGGAGAAATTATTAGAGAAACGGCTCAGCGTATTATGCGGGATAGCCTTAGTGAAAAAGAAGTAAAACTTATAGCTAAAGCATTAGCTGAGACATCCCCTAATCCGGTTGCCTGCACATCTAGTCTCAGTAGGCTTCAAAAGGAATTGCGGAAGCTTAATGCCCCAAAGGTAATAATCGAAGCTACGAAGATTCCAGGGATGACCACTTTATCAAATAAAATCCAAAAGGAGAAGAGTTTATTATGCGAAGATGAAGGAATTCATTATCTGAACCACTTCTCGTTAGAATTGGTTAAGGAGAGATTGGATTCGTATGATGTATCTAATACACCCGACAAACAGGCCCTAGCTGATGTAATGATTATGCTCTGTATCCGTCCAGCTGAAATTAAAGATTTGCGTATATCCAATGGAGGTGTAACAGGATATGTAAAAAACCAAGATCAACAGGATATTCCTCGAGTGTTTAGATCACTTGAAAAGAATGAAGAACGGGCAAAGCAATTGCTTACATAGATTCAGGAAGCAATATCTTCCGGACGGTTAGGAGACCCAGGGACGCCTGGAACTGGAATCTTGAGTAGGTTTCTGAAAAAAGCTGAATTTCTTCCCGAAACTGGTAAGCCATTACTTTCTAGTTTTTTACGTAATTTAGGAGCTGTATTTGCGGTTGTAGCGAGTGGAGTTAGGAATCTATTGAAAGCTAATACTATTGCTAGTTAAGCACTTCGACATAGTCCTAAAAATAACACTGCGCCATCGCAGAGGTATACTATAGTAAATTACAGACCTCGTGGAATGCCTTACGATCAAGCAAACCCATTCATGTTCTTCGATGAAAACTAATCACATTATTCACATATAAGGGTTAGAGGGATCCCAGAGGGATCGAATTGGGATATCAATATGCATAATTTTATTTTTTTTCGTTCAAGTCAAGATCTAGCATATAGAATACATCACGAAAATGATAGCCGATCAAAAGCATTCATCCGATAGTATAGCTAGCGAGCAGGAAGTTATTAGATATACGAAAATATTAGCCCAGGCATTTGGACTAAATGAGCAAAATGCAGAAGTATATAGTGTACTTTCCAGTGAAAATAGAGCACTAGCAAAAAGGATAGATCATTATTGTTCTCGGCATAGAAAGCTTAAAAAGAGAGTTAAACTACTAGAAGAATGTGTAAAGTGACTGGATGATAATGTAGACGAACTATTTACTATGGAACATTGCAATTGTAGTAAAGAATCCATAAATACTTCGTCTGAGTCCAGTTCATCTGAGGAATTCAATTCTGATCACGCGCTACCAGAAAAGAAAGTGGATCCAGGCAAAATAATATGCGCGAAGAGAGAATCTGATAATAAGGCGAAGCCAAGAAGGTATCTGATCCAAAAAGTCTGATTTAACTAGTTATCACTTCGTGCTATAACTAACCATATTTTCTGATTGAAAATTCTTCTATCATATAAAAATGCATGAATCGAATTTACTTGAGCTTCTTCCATCAGAGTTGATATCATTTATTTTAAAGTATCTTCCAGATCTAAAACATGCTAGCGGTATAAATGACATATGGGAAAGAGAGGTGAATCTTGAACAGCCCAAAAAGGTAATTCTTACAGATTTTTGATTTAGGATTGACATATGCGCTAATGCAAATTTCATTAGTGAAAAAATTGTGAAAATAACATACGCAAAAGACAATAGTATTCCTAGAGTATATGGGTTTCTAGATGAGTCTTATTCCACATTAGGAAAGGTTAATCTACGTATTATCTTAAATGATGGCGAGAAGCATAAAATCATACCCACTGAATTTATAGTTACTGGACCAGATTGGCCTGATCAATTTCCTGAAATACTTTTGGGCTCACCATGGATGCGAGAAAATAGTGTACGCTTAAATATGTGTAATTCGACACTAACAATAGATGATAATTTTGTGATCCTCCCATATCAAAGTCAAATCTGGTCCAACCAATAGTCCGGAGTAGTGATCATTGATGCAAAATCACATTTTTTCGATTAAAGATACAGCATATATTATTTATGGCACATTTAGGTGTTATAAATTTACCAGAACTATTAGAGTGGATTCTATATTTCCTAGCGGTAGATAAATTTTTTTATCCCGCCCTATTTGTTTCCCGATTATGGTACAGATGCGGTGCACCTATTCTGTGAAAGCATATTGAATTGAGAGGAAAAGACTTATATCCTGGACAATCTCTTCCAAATAATTATAAAAATTACTATGCAAAGGACAAAAAAATATAAATTAACTAACCTGTTCTAGACTATACTTTTCGTCAAAATGACAAAATACTAATTAAATTTATTTTGACAGACGTAATGTATTTTGACAGACGTAATTAATTTATAGTAATTTTATAATAAATAGTGAATTGGTCCGTTCGCTGAAATATGACGTAAATAATTAGCGGAGAAGTATATTCTAGACATGGGCATTGGTCCGTACCAGCTGAATTTTTTATGAAAACTTCATGCTATTGTTGAGGAGAGACCTTCAGAAATAACAGTAATCCCTCTCTAGTAAAATAAACCGTTTTATCCCTATTGATGAATTTCTGTATTACCAAACTTGGAACGTCTAAAACTTTTGAATATATCAGTCGTTGGAAATGTCACATGCAGATCATTTTTATATTAAATTAAGTTTGTATAACATTGATTGCACCTCTTCATTTTGTAACCAATCGTCGAATTCCAAACCATCATGCTTATGTAAATTATGAAGTTGATAGACCATCATGTGTTCTATCAATTTTTATCATTATTTTTTTTTTTTATAAAAAAAAATTTTTCTAAGGTCGTAAAAGTGGTTATTTAGACAGTTTTCACGTAAAGGATGAAAACCCCGATTTTTTACTATGGTAAGAAACTTTTATAAAGTTAAATGCGGTAAAAAGATAAATAAAAGATATTTTTTTTTTGTAATTTATAGTTTTTTATAAGCTGTATAATATTTTTTTGGGTTACATTTTCACTAATTTTTTTTTTGTTCTCTCTTTCTAAGCATTCAAAGGATAAGAATATTAAATGATTGATGCCACACATCCTTTTATTTGCAACCGTAAGTCAATAACTTTTCTTTGTATAAATTGTTTTAAAAATTATTATTTTTTCGCGTAGACCAATGTTTTTTTTAATATTAGAATGATAATAAACATGTAGGTTGATAGGTTGATTTAGCAAATTCGTAGGATGATCAAAGTATTTTAATTACTTTTTAATAATTTTTTTTTTATTAATTCTAATTGTATTACATTAATTATTATGTAATTTAAAGTTTTATTATATACTGTATATATTAAAAAAATAGTTTTTTTAACGTGTTAATCAAAGAATTATTTGTATAATATGTTATGTAGTTGCTTCTTCATCACCACTTCCTCTTCCTCTTTCCCTTCCTCTCCCCCTTCCTCTCCCCCTTCCCCTTCCCCTTCCCCTTCCCCTTCCCCTTCCCCTTCCACTTTTCTTCGCCTTTTCTCTTTCCTCCCTTTCTTCTATTTTTCTTTCTTTTTTCATTTTAGCAATATCAGCAAGTGTAACGCGTGTAATGTTCCTTGCTCTTCTTCCAACAGTCGTATAATTTTCTGTCAAAAGAATTTCTTGATTTACTATTGTTTGCAACCTTTTAATACCAATTTCATATGCAGCAACAGGACCCCAGAAAATACATATATAGGTCATAAATAATCTGCACAAAATTATGGGTATTTCGCTACCCTTAAAATCAGTTGAATTCGCCAAAAATTGAATTATTACATACAAATTTAGTATTAATTCGCCAAAACTAAAGCATGACTTTATTTTTATATGTAAATAAATATGTAGAAAAAAAATTTATTTATTATATTTATTAAGATTTTATTTATTATTACTTTTAAGGAGTGCATTAAAATATTCCTTTGCTTGTCCTTTAAGAATTAATGCTTCTTCACTAATAATAACATCTTTTAATACCAAATGATGAATAATATGAGAAGCTTTAGTATGAGAAAAAATTAAAAAATGATGATCCCGAATCTCTGAAAAAATTGCACCATTAACATGAAAGAAAATTTTCATAGATACATAAGAAAGAGATTTGAGATCTGAAACAGGAGTATCAGTATATGAATGCATCAAGGACTTTTGTTCATACATGGCAATGATTTGAGCAACACAAAATGTATTGTCAAATTTAGCTATTACGAAAGATCCGATTTGTAACGGTAAAAAAGCAGAGTTATCAGCACGTGGATGATCTAAAAATAGAAACAATATGAAAAAAATTCATCTTTTAACAATTAACGATTAATAGATTAGTTTACCTTTTGTGTTATTATCAGTCTTTTTATTTGATTTCCATCTATTTTCTCGTGATTTAGTCAAGGTAGAATCATCATTTTTCGTTAAATATGAAACCAAATTACTGGCTATATTAACATCAAGTTTATCTAAAGTATTATTTTCATTGTTTCTAAAAATAGTTTTTGTTCGTTCAAGATTTCTACTCGTATAGGC